TGCCTCATCTGCCTGAGAGACTTTTTGTAGCCCCTAGAGTGGGGGTTAGGGCCTCCCAATTCTGGCCTTGCCTAGGAAGAAGGCCTGAGCTGCTGTATCATCATTCATGAGCTTGGAAAGTGAGAGCCTGGAGTCCCTTTGCAGGAGTCCTAGCCTCCTATGCCCCTTACCATCTTCCAAGTCCACTCTGCTTCTTGCCCACCCTGTACAAGACCAGATACAGTGAGATGTCTGTCACCTGGCCAGGGAGGCTGTACTCAGTAAGCACTGGTCAGGACCATATGCTGTGTGACAGTATTCCTGGAGAGGCATGAACAAACATCTACTCAACCCCAAAAAGGGAACCAATGAAAGATCAATGTAAGGATACTATCAAAATCCAACTTGGTCAACCAGTGAGTTTTATTAGGGTTGCTTATAGGAATATGGATGAGAAATTACGGGAACAGAAATGACTCACAGAAATGACAGCTGCATCACTGAAAGCCTACCCCAGCATGGGTGACAGCCCAGGAAAGCAGGAAACCTGGAGTGCACTACACAATCTGCAGGCAATGTCTTTTCCAGGTAGCTCAGCTGGTCTCTGTTTCTTCCAGTTGGCTTGGCTGGTCTGAGCCTCTTCTAGACAGCTCAGCTTGCCTGAGTGTCTTGCTTCCTTAGAGCTTATATATGCTTGGGGAAGGAGTGGGCTGGTGAATCTGGTCAATTTCAGGGACTTCTTGAAGCTATAGAGTTGTTCAGTTACTGAGTTTAATGAATTTCTCTGAAGGACTGAATGTTTAACTTCTTTTAGAACATCCTATTGTTTACTGAGCTTCCCTCTAAAACAGAAGATCTTATCTCAGAAGACATTGCTGCACAACACTGCAACATTGCCACCAGGCACCAAGCTGCCTTTTAGGGGAGAGGCACTGTACATCTTCCTACAATGCCCAGAACCCTGCTGTGGGACTCAAGCATGCTGTGAGCTTGGAAGCACTTTGTTTGCTGTGAGCACGGTTGTTTCCCACCTGCCCTGTACAGTTGAGCATGGAAGTTTTCAGGATAGGGGCCAAGAGGAACATAAGAGGGTTAGGATTTCCTAGTGGAAACTTCTGCAGAGAGCCCATAGCTAATAAATGGGAGGCAGAAAGATCTTAAACTGGATGCCCCACCTGCTCTGCAAAGCGTGTGTCAGGACCCTCGGGACCTAGAGCTAAAGCAGACTGAGCCTGGCCAGGACACACTGCTAGCTACAAAGCCACTCAAACAGCCATCTGAAGAGCTAGCCTTGAGTTATTGCCACTAAAGTCAAAGGATAATAAACTTGGGGGGCTTTCAGAGAGCAGGTGACATCATAGTTGGGTCTGGGAAGACATGGAAGAGTTGTTTGGACAGAGGTGTAAGGACATCAACAAAGGCTCATGAGCATGGAAATTGTGGCTTTTGTCAGGCCAGAGACCACTCAAACAGCCATCTGAAGAGCTGGCCTTGAGTTATTGCCACTAAAGTCAAAGGACAATAAACTTGGGGGGCTTTCAGAGAGCAGGTGACATCATAGTTGGGTCTGGGAAGACATGGAAGAGTTGTTTGGACAGAGGTGTAAGGACATCAACAAAGGCTCATGAGCATGGAAATTGTGGCTTTTGTCAGGCCAGAGAGTTCAAGGAAGTTGGAGAGAGTTGAAACAGACCTGGCTTGGTGATGTACACCATAATCCTAATACCCAGTAGGTGGAAGCAGAAGACTCATGAGTTTGAAAGCAGCTTGGGTATAATAGTGTGACCTATGTAAGATTTAGAAGGACAGAGAAAGAATAAAGTTTGGGTAAAAGACCAGAGCCAGACCTTCAGCAGACTGAACAGAGGATTAGTTCAGCAAAGGTGATATAGCTTCTCTAACAACAAGCAAGCTATGCAAAGGTGGGATAGGTTAAGGTGAATTTTATATTACTGGAAACTAGCTGTGAAGTCTGGGCTGGACTGTCCTTGGGCCCTTTTCCTGGAGTTGCAGAACAAAGAAGTTGTTTTCAGCTCAATTGGCTAGCTGATAACAAGGGTACAAGAAACAGCAGAGACATCCTAGCCAGAGGAGTGGGTTGTCTGGCTTACTGCAGCTGTGGAATTCTATCAGACCTAAGACAGACATGTGGCTATCTATTAACAGTGAGCCTAGGGTAAGACATCTGTCTCAGGGAATTCCTAGTTTCTATCAACTTGTTTCAAAAACCAAGGACTGATGATGTAGCTCAGTGGTACAATGGTGCTTGCCTAGTATGCACAAGAGCCCCCGGGGTCAGTTAATGCAGATTTCAGTCCCTAGGGGGCAACCCTGTATTTCCTATACCATGTGGAAGAGATACCTTTCTACTAATTAACCAGAGATGACATGGCTACCTCCAAGGGGTGGTTAGCTTTCAAGGTGAGCAGCTGATATGGGAGTTAGCCTAGCTGTATCTAGGGTAGACAGGCATTGGGGCCCACGCACCATTAGCTGAGAGCCTTTGAGGTACTAGTAGGTATCTGAGGCCCCAAGACCCTCTTTCTATCCCTCCCTACTCCCAGCTTGCCTATATCTGTATTCCAGCACCACTAGCATGGAGGCTATAGTGACATGGGGGAACAAGGCCACTCCCCCATCTCTGGCTGCTCCCAGAGGAAGGCTGGAAAAAGTCAACCCACTCTCCTTATGGTACTCCTAACATAGTTCAGAACAACAAATGCAGGTCCTTCCCTAGTGGGAAGGTGGGTGGACCTTCTACCAGTGCCAGGTCTGGGGAAGAGTGACTTTTGAACTGAGTCGTTAGGGGCTTTGCACAGGAAGAAGTGAGAAGTCAGTGAAACCCAGGTTCACTCTAGGCCATCTTAGTTGACTGTCTTAGAACTTGGCCAGACCCCCCTCTAAAGAGCGAGACCAGAGAGACAACAACAGGTCATACTCAGCTCTTAGGTGAGAGCCCTATCCTGAGTGGCCCCTCAAATCTATGACTCTTGAAGAGAGTCTCTTCAGTCTCTGAGCTCCATTGTCCATAGCATGCCTGTGGGAAGCCATGATGAGAACCACATGTGTGATGTCTGTGAAGTGCCTCCTCAAGAAAGGGAGCCCTTTCCTAGCCTCACATTTCTGGGCCTAGTGAACACCCTTCATGGTCAATATAGTAACTTAGGCTAACCTCGGCCCTTAGAGCAGAGGGATGAGGTGCCAAGACCTGGGGTCTTGCCTCCCACACTATCTGCTACAGTTGCTTGTGGGTAACTTCATTTCCCTTGTGTGGCTTTTTAAAAAATATTTTATTTATTATTTTTATTTTATGTGTATGTGTGTATTGCCTGCATTTGTGTAAGTGCACCCGTGTCATGCAGTGCCGCAGAGGTCAGAAGAGGGTGTCAGATTGCCCAGAACTGGAGTTACAGACAACTGTTAGCTGCCATGTGGGTGCTAGGATTTGAACCCGGGTCTTCTGCAAGAACATTCAGTGTTCTTAACTGCTAAGCCATCTCTCCAGCACCCCCTTGTGTGGCTTTTTAAAAAAATATTTTACTATTTTATGTGTATGAGTGTTTGCATGTATGTAAGTGCACCTGTGTTATGCAATGCCCTCAGAGGTCAGAAGAGCTCCAGAGTCTAGATTCCCTGGAACTTGAGTTAAGGACAGTTGTTAGCTGCCATGTGGGTGCTAGGAATTGAACCCCGGTCCTCTGCAAGAGCAGCCAGTGCTCTTAACTGCTGAACCATCTCTCCAGCCCCAATTGTGTGGCTTTTTGTATACTTCACAGACCTACACCTGGGCATAAACAGCAACTTTGTTTACTGTCCTGGGTGTGGATGTCCTCAACCCCTACCCTGTTGGGTAGGCTCTCTTTGTGGCCCAGGATTGAGGCTGTGGGGCTCAAGACTGAGGCTTTTAAGCTTCTCTAAGTCTGATCAGCTCAGGGCTGGAGATGACCTGGCTTCTCTCCCAGGCCTGCTAGAGTATAGGTTTGCATCTCTGTGCTTGCACCACAAACAGGGAGCAGCCATGAGAACAGGACCCCACCCAGACGCTGCTGTAAGTGATCCCTGTGACTGTCACCTGTGATTCTAAAACCCCCTAATATCAAGAGTCAGGGCTGTACCCCACAAGAGGAAGAATGAGCAGTCCACTTCCAGCCCTGGTCTGTTCTAAGCAGGAGTGTTTCCAGGGCTGACTATAGGGACCCCACTGGAATCTGCCAACTCCTTCCAGGTCCTTGAGGTCCTGTGCTAAATAGTTCCCCTAAGTGTTCATTCAACACTCCTTCCCTCTGGTATTCATGTTGCCCTATATTCTGATGGACCCCAAGTGGTCGTCAGATGCTGGGCTAGTTACCAGAATGCCACAAGGGAACTGGACACAATGCCAACATGGTTAAGTATGGACCAAGGGAAAGGGTAGGGAGGGTCTCTGCCAAAGCAGACTGATATGACTGAGGTAATGAGGGCTGCAGTTGAGTCAGTGGGGGTGCAATTGGGGAAGGGGGTGCAGGAAAGTGAGACTGCAGTAGCTTGCCCTCTGGTAGCAGATGCCTCGTTTCCCTTGGCTCAGTGTTTCCTCCCTAGGATTTGTCCTGTTTGTTGCCAACACCTGTGCAGAGCAGTATGTCTACAACATGAATGCCATAGAGAACAGAACCAGTAAGCATGTGGGACACAGCTATAGAAAACAGGAGGCTGAGTCAGGTGTGGTGGACATGCTTGCAGTCCCAACACTTGGGACGCTGAGGCAGGAGGATCATGAGTTTGAAGCCAGCTTAGGCTACTTAGTGCAACTTTGACTTAGAAAAAAAATGGCTGCAGAAACTCACATGTTCCATCTTCCTCCATTGATTAGAAGGGACTAGGTAGAGGCAAACCCCATTTCTGTTCTCTGGAAGGCAAGAAGGGCCTGAAAAGTCCCTGGTTGGGCTTATGCCTCTGACATGACGGCACACTTCAGGGGACCTCAGGGAGGTGTATCCCTCAAGACAGCAGCCCTCCTTAGCCTGTTCCTATCTGTCCCATAGGGCATCTGGCGGATCCCCGTGGATGAGATTGACCGTCCAGGCAGCTTTGCCTGGCACATGAACCGCTCCATTGTGCTGCTGCTCAAGGTTCTGGCCCAGCTTCGGGACCACAGCACCTTGTTGAAGGTGTCTTCCATGCTGCAGCGTACACCAGACCAGGGCAAGTGAGTGAGCCACCACACACAGCCTGGCTCATCATCCACCCAGGCCTGTCCCCACTGCTCCCACCTGGCCTTGAGGTCTATTCGTCTGGGAGGTCCAGCCTTCGCTCTCCTCAGGGACCCCTCTAGCTGAGTATCTAGACCTCAGGCACACTTCCCCTACCTCAAGCACCCAACACAAGCTCTCCCCACTGATCCTGGTTTCCACATTGAGACCTTCCATTCTGCCCAGCCTGGGGCTCTCAGAAGCATTACTAGTGGGGAGTGTATATATCCAGAATGTAGCCCTAGAGTCAAAGACAATTAGGTCAGCAGCAGTGGTCCTAGGCCTCTACAGAACCAGGGATCCATTGCCTGAAGGTTGGGACACATAAAACAGAGGGTGTCTACCACAGCTGCTATTCCTGGGATTAGAGATGGTGTCCCAGGAGATGCAGCTCCCACAAGGACTATCCTAACTGTGAAGCCTGGAGATGGGCCATCCCAGAGACAGACCTGAGAGAAAGGAACTTTGCCCCTAAGCCCTCCTTGAGTGACACCATAACCCTGTCCTCTAGCTAACCTCTATTCTAGAGGGCTCAGAGCAGCTACTGGAGCCAAGTCATACTTGTTGAATGTGACATATGAAGCACAGGGGCACTTTTGGGGAACAGGGAACAGACCTAAGTGGGACATAATGACAAGAATTATTGGAGTGAGGATAAGGTGCTGGCTCACCACCTAGCAATATTACATGGTTTCTGACACTGTTCCATCCTATCTGGCCCCCTGTGTGACCACAGAAAATACCTTCGAGATGCAGACCGCCAGGTCCTGGCACAGCGGGCCTTCATCCTCACTGTGAAGGTGTTGGAGGACACGCTGAGTGAGCTTGCAGAGGTATGTTAACCCACCACACCTTACCACCCTCACCCCAGACCTCATGCATTACAGGCCTAAAAAACTTGCCTCTACAGCAGGCACACTTGGTGGCCTTTGGCAGATCCTTTTTCTATCCGACCACCCTCACACATATAAGGCTCACCTTACAAAGCCACTGGAGAGCCAAGACAAGCCTAGCCATGCCTGCTAGGCTCAAAAGCAGTAGCTAAGAGTCCCATTGCCCAGCCTAACCACCACCCACCCCCATCCCCACCCTCAACCCTGGCTACCTGTGAGGGTCTTGGAGCTACCAGAGGACAGAAAAGGGTGGGTCTCTGGGCCCTGCACCCTCTTCTGATGACTGAAGCTTAGCCTTGTCCTGCTGGCACATGTGCAGAGCTAGAGTAGCATCGAGTGGTGTGGCCCAAGGAGGCTCTGGTTCAAGGGAGACATCAGTATCCTGCCTGGTTTCCTTGTAGGGGTCAGAACACCCAGAGCCCAAGGCCTGTGGCCTCCCTGGAGCAAGGATGACTACCGACGTCTCACACAAGGCCAGTCCTGAGGGTGGCCAGGAAAGCCTCCCCCACTCCAAGAAGCCACCTCTGGCTGATGGCTCAGTGACAGGGCCTGAGCCAGGGGGCAAAGTGGGCCCTGCCAACCAAGTGCCAGTGACCGCAGACACAAGAGACAGCACAGACCAGGTTGGGGAACGGAAGGACAAAGAGAATCCCCGAGTGGGGCCCATTGAACCCATGGATATGAGTGAAATTGCTGTTTGCCACCCAGACTTGGAACGGATGCCACCTCTGCTGCCAGGCCACCCCCTAAGGGACCGGGGCCCTGAGAGCCGGTCCACTGAGCTGTCCCTAGAGGAACTGAGCATCAGCACCCGGCAGCAGCCCCCCCCTCTCACACCAGCCCCCACAGCCCCCACCACCACTGCTACTCCCACGACTGCCATGGGGGTCAGGGGAGGTAGCCACCCTGAGGAGCCACCCCCGAGGCCCAATCGCAAGAGGAAGCTCCTGGAGGACACAGAGTCGGGCAAGACACTCCTACTGGATGCCTACCGAGTGTGGCAGCAGGGCCAGAAGGGCATGTCTTACGACCTGGGCCGCATTGAGAAGATCATGTCGGAGACTTACATGCTTATCAAGCAGGTGAGCAGGCAGTGCGCTGGCCCAAGGGCTGCACCTGTCAGTAGACTTCTTCATTGCCTGACCCTTCTGTTTTACAGGAGGCTCTTTCTTGGGTCCACATGTACCAGGGAGGACACGCTGAGTGAGCTTGCACCCCTGGGGTGGACTTTAGGTATTCTGCCCACCTCACCCCCACTATGTGCTTTGTTTCCTTTTTTTTTTTTAAGGGTTCTGTTTGTTGTTTGTTTATTGAGTTTCTCTCTGGTGAAAAGATAGTAAGTTTAGAGTCAGAAAAGCAATGAGGTATAAAACATGTGAATTTAACCCCTAAGGAAAATGAAACTACATTACAGGCCCAGCACAGGAGTATGGAGACCCCTGGTCCCACCACTGTGAGGGGCCTCTGGATACATATGGGACACTTTGAGATGTATGGCTGTCACCTAAAGGTGGCTATGGTGCCCAGCTTAAGGAACAGGCTGGGTCCAGGTGCAACAGCCCAAAAAGGCTATTGCCCTTGTCTTTTTGCCTGCTTTTTTTCCCCCAAATGGATAGGCACATGCTTTTTCTCTATATTTAAAATTATTCCTGCCGGGCATGGTGGCACATGGTGCCTTTAGTCCCAGCACTTGGGAGGCAGAGAGCTGGTGGATCTCTGTGAGTTCAAGGCCAGCCTGGTCTATGTGAGTTCCAGGCCAGCTGAGGCTACAGGGAGACTCTGTTTTACAAACAAAAAAAAATTCCCACAGGGGCTAGAGAAATGGCTCAGCAGTTTAAGAGCACTGGCTGCTCTTGCAAAAGACCCAGGTTCAAATCCCAGCACCCACATGGCTGCTAACAACCATCCATAACTCCAGTTTCAAGGGATCCAACACCACCTTCTATCCTCCACGGGCACTGCACAATATGGGTGCACTTACACACATGCAGGTATAACACTCATATACATAAAATAAATCAAAAAATAAAATTATTCCCATAGGAAGAATCCCCAGAACTTGCAGCTAGTGGAAATGGTCAGTTTTTTCCCAAATGGAATTAGTTACCAGGGCTCGTTTGAGATTGCCTCTCTACCTTGCCAGCACTGAGGGTGAACTTCCCTGCATTTTTGCTATGAATTGCCTAGGAACAGTCCTTGTATGAGAGGCCAGGCCCTTTCCTACCTTGCCTGCTCCCATCCTTACTTAACAGTGTATGGCCATCTCCCTCAAGCCATGCCTGCTACTTCTCCTGAGTGACCCCTATACTGCCCACCTCAGACTGACCTCCCTGTGCCTTAGGTTCTTACTCTGTGGTTCACATTTAGCATGGCCCAGAGTATTACCATCCTACCTGAGCTTCCAGAAAGCTCCTCCCTCTGAGATCATAGCCCATTCTCAGGATGGACTCTGGCTCAGAAATAAACCCAGAATAAAGCCACTTAGGCAGTTGGGCCTTAACAGATTTTGTTTTGTTTTGTTTGGGGTGGGAGGGGCTTGTTTTGTTTTTATTTTATTTATTTATTTATTTACTTTTGTCTTTTTGAGACAGGGTCTCCCTGTAGTCCTAGCTGTCCTGGAACTCACTATGTAGACCAGGCTGGCCTTGAACTCACAGAGATCCACCTGCCTCTGCTCCCAAGTGCTGGGACTACAGGCGTGTGCTACCACGCCCAGCCCTTTTTTTTTTTAATTTTATTTACTGTTTTTACTTTTTGTGTATGAGTGTATGCAATGCTCGTGGTGGTCAGAAGAAGGCATTGGATTCCCCCAGAACTGGAGTTATGCATGGTTGTTAACTGCCATGTGGGTTCTGGGAATCAAACCCAAATCCTCTGCAAGAGCAGTCAGTGCTCTTAACCGCTGAGCCATCTCACCAGCCTAGGCCTTAGCTGATTTTGTTTTGTTATTTTTAAGATTTTATAGGCCAGGCGCAGTGGTGCACACCTTTAATCCCAGCACTTGGGAGGCAGAGGCAGGCAAATCTCTCTTAAGTTTGAAGCTAGCCTGCTCTACATAGGCCAGCTGGAGCTTATAGGGAGACCCTGCCTCAAAAATACCAAGAAATAACAAATTTTATTACTTATTAAGATTTTTATGTGTATGAGTGTTTTGCCTGCATTTATCTAAGTATACCACATACGTGTAGTACCGAGGAGGCCAGAAGAGAATGTCAGATCCTCTAACAGCTGGGTCCTCTGCAAGAGCAGCAAATGATCTTAACTGCAGAGCCATCTCTCCAGCCGTTGTTTTGTTTTATTTTGCTGGTTTTTGTTTTGGTTTTTGGTTTATTTTGTTTGGTTCTGAGACAGGGTCTTGCTTTGTAGCTAAGGCCGACCTATGCTGGCTTTAAGAATATGTACCACCATGGGTATGGTGGCCCACACCTTTAATCCCAATACTCGGGAGGCAGAGACAGGTGGATCTCTATGAGTTCAAGGCCAGCCTGGTCTGCATACCAAGTTCCAGGCCAACTGGGGCTACAGGGAGACCCTGCCTCAAAAAAGCCACAAAAGATAAAAGACAAAAAAATAATAATAATAAATAAAAAGAACATGTACCACTAAGCCCAGCTCGCCCTAGTTGTGGTCTGAGGCCTCCTGTTAGTGTTGGCCCCTGAGGACATAAATAATTAGCCATAGAAATTAACTTACTGTGGCTAGAGGGTTGGCTAAGACCAGTCTTGGCATCAACAGGGCCACACTGAGGAGAGCTTACATAGGAGAGAGTCCCCTTCATGGGCTAGTCCAATATGTTGTCTAGGGAAAGAGGGCAGGGAGCTGGCCAAGCACAGTGGCCCAGGTTCTCTGACCTCAGGCATCTCTGCTCAGGTGGATGAGGAGGCTGCGCTGGAACAGGCTGTGAAGTTCTGTCAAGTCCACCTTGGGGCTTCTGCCCAGAGGCAGGTAAGCTCCACCTATCCTATGCCAGCCCTTGCTGCAGGTCCGGCCCTACACCAAACCTTGAACTATAGGCCCAGAAGTAAGTATGTCCTGGAGCTGGTTCCTGAGATGGGCCAAGGGCAGAAGAGCAGGTGTCTAGGCCTCTGGTTGGTGGGGCACCACCCCAAAGTTGTAGTCCTCTAACAGGGCTCAGACCCATTTCTCAGACATATGTGAGTATATGACCTAAGGGGTTATGCTTTGGTTCCCTTTTCATAAGCAGGAAGGACAGCACCTGGCCAACTGGCTTCAGCTAGACAGGGCCTTACCTTTGTGACTGGTAGAGAAGTGATACCAGAGGCAAGCTGACTAGGATCACAGTGACCAGAGATATTGGGTAGAGGCAGAGCCTATGCAGGGGTCACTCAATGGAGAACAAGTGATATGGATCAGGGGCTCATCCCAAGGCAAGCTTATGAGGCAGGGGAGGGAGCTGTTAGAAGGGCCAGGAGGGGATGGCAGGGTCCCAGAAAGATGGTAGCAGAGGCTGTCATGCTGGGATAAAGGTGGGAGTGAGACCCTCCTGGGATGGTCTGGGAGAGGCCCTTCAGGGTTGAGGTTGGGCTTGTGTTGAGTCTTGCAAGAGAAAGGCCCAGGAGAAGCTGAGAGGAGGGAGGCAGGCCTAGCAGGTCTAAGAGCTACCCCTAAAGCCTTGAAAGCCTTACAGGTCAGGATGGTGGCTTGTTCTTGTCTCAAAAAAAGAAGTCAGAGCAGCCTTCTTGTTAGTGGTCATGGTCACTGCCCATGTGTCACTGCAGGTCCAACTTCTTATCCCCAGGGGTAACCTAGTTGCTTTGGACCACCTTGTCACAGAAGCTCCAGCAGCTGACATCTTAGGGGTCCAGACCGACTGCTTCTTGGTAGAATGGATCATGAGGCTATTAACACTACCCAGACCCTAGGTCTAAGGAAGTCTAGGGATTCACTTTTGTTTCGCCCTTTTCTTTTTTGAGACAAGGTCTTCCTATAGCCCCAGCTGGCCTGGAAGTAACAGAGATTTACCTGCCTCTGCCTCCCAAGTGCTGGGATTAAAGGCATGGGCCACCACGCCCAGCCAGGGATTCACTTTTGAGATGTGAGCTGTGGGTCAGTTCCCCAAATGAGAATCAGGATTGACCAACCAACTAGTGGGCCTCACTACTTGATTATTGCCCATGTAGCCAAAATGCACAGCCTCGTGCCCACGGCCTCTTGGTGGCCCTCACTTCTACCTCCCACTCCATGTATCAGGTGAGACTGATACTTGTGTCCTGGTAGAATGCTTAGGGATCTTGTTGGCTGCACTCAGTGATGCCATAGTGCCATGTTGGTATCTAGTGTCTGTGGGGTTCAGCCTGGTGATCCCCCTGCACCAGTCCTGGTGAGGCAGGTAGGCTGTGACTGCTGCCCATTGTGATGACATGTTGGCATTGATCACTAACAGGAAGGCTATACCAACTTTTTTTTTTTTTTTTTTTTGTCTTTTTGAAGCAGGGTCTCCCTGTAGCCCCAGCTGTCCTGGAACTCACTATGTAGACCAGGCTGGCCTTGAACTCACAGAGATCCGCCTGCCTCTGCCTCCCAAGTGCTGGGACTACAGGCATGTGCCACCATGCCTGGCTATACCAACTTTTTTTTAAGGCAAGGTCTTAGTCCTTAGCTCTGGCTTAGCACTTGATATGTAGCCCAGGCTGGACTGTAACTCACAGCAGTCCTCCTTTCTCAGCTTCCTAAGTGCTAGGATTATAGGACACCACCATACCTATCTTTTTTTATTTATTTATTTTTCCGTAGCAGGAAACGCCTTTTTATTTAGCTTCATAAACTCTTTTTTTTCCCCCTCTTATCTACTTATGTGTATGTGAGTATTGCTGCATGATGGCAGATATTTTCTGAGTTGCACGTAATTACTAGTGCTCACAATTGCAAAAACAACTTTCCTTCTAGCTCACAAAGTCTTTCTTTAAACAGCCATGCTCCCCCAAGGGGGTGCACCGGTCCTAGAGATACTACAATACCAGGTCGATGCATGGAGTGGACAGAGCAAAAATCCATTTGATATTTTGTCCTCGAATAGAGGACGTATCTGATATTAAACTGTTAAGAACAGATACTACACTTGATCTTAGCCAAAAGGCCGAGAAGCAATTCATTCCCCTCTTATGTCTGACCTTGAAAGGGCTTAAGCACAAGATGCACATAGGAAACCCTAAACACCCTCCCTTTCGCTGGTGCTGTGCTGGCAAGGGGTCAAGGCTAAAGCAGTCTCGTTCCTTAGAGGAAGGAGGTGGAAGTCAAACAGGATCACCTGCTGCCAAGGCCTGTACATATCAGTACCATGTGGGTGCAAGGGCAGAAGTTGCTCTCAGGGACTCCCGGACGATCCAGGCTGGGTAGTAAGGTGGCCAAAGCTGATGGATGGAATCCGTACATTTCAGGTTGCCTGATGCTAGGCACCATCAAGCCTGGACTTTGGTCACTTCAGGGTACAGAGCCCAAGTAGAAGAGAGCTAGTCAAGTAGTACTTAGACCCTCCCTGGCAGTGTTGTGGTCTGCCACCCACTTCCTAGATCCCACTGGTGTGTTTCTGGGATTGCACAAGGCCCTCCCACAACACACACTCTGGGCCTGGAGTGATAGATCTGACGGCCAGCTACTCTGCTCCACATCTCCCTTGAGCCCCATCTCAGAGGACTATTACTCACCTCCCAACCTCTCCTTGCTCTTCACCCTTTCTCCCTGGAGAAGCCACTTAGGAGGCTCCCTTCAAGTTCCCCAATAGGCTTCCTGTCCTTCCCTGCTATCCCAGACCATCACAGTGGGTAAGGACTACAGATAAGGTGCTGTTCCAGGTCACTTCCAAAACTACCCCACCCATACCTCCTTCCCCACAAGCTCCACTTTGAGGAAGGCCGGTAGGACAGTCATAGCTGTCCTGGACCCACTTCTAATTAGCATTAAGGAAGAGGACAAGGCCCTTAAAGCCAGCTGCCCCTTAGGGAGTGTCCATTTTGCTTTCTGAGCTCCCAGTTGCCATTGGCAGCCCTATGCATAGCTGGAGGGCACTGTGGACCTCATTAGAGGCTCAGTACAGTTGCTTGCAGCCAAGGCTGCTCCTGATTGAGGACAGGGTAGGGATGTAACACTTACCATCCCTTGTGTCTGCTACCTGGGCTACAGCAGTGCCAGCCTTGCTATAGACCCTTGCCAAGATCCAGGTCTGTCCTTTTGCCCCACCTCCACCAGACTAACATCCCATAGCACTAGTCTGGGGCTTATCCTAAACACCTACCACATAGCAAAACCCATGGGGTTCTCCTCATCACACTGAGTAGGGGATGAAACCTTTTAAGCAAAACAAATGTCAGAAAGGATCATTGGTGGAAGGCAAATAACCTCAAAGCACCAAGGCACCCATTGGCAAGCTTGTGACTCTTGCACTCCCACTATCCTTGTGTGAGCATCTCAGTACAGTAGGTCTGTGCTAGGTAGGGGCTGGAGGGCTTGGGGCTCAGCCCTGCCATTATTGGCTGCCTCACCTCACTTTGAAGTACATTGTCAGGCATCTTGGTCTTCACACCTGTCTGGAAGGGCTGGGTTTTGGGGAAGGAGTGACTGTGAAAAGATCCCCAAATGGTTGCCAAGGCAAAGGGAATTATATGAAGAAAGATCCAGAGGCTCTAAGAGTCCTACTCTCTCGGAACCACAGGGCTATGCTAAGCACTCTGAATCTAGACTGCAGGCAAAGGGGCTGATTGACCAAGCTTGGTAGCATCACACACCTGCCTGGGGCTCTCAAGCTTGGGGAATGGACTTGTGCAATTTTTCCCTTGGGACTCTCCAACTAGTAGCCCTCAGAAAGTCACTCTCCCAGGTTGACCAGCCCTGAGACTGGGCCCTACATCCCAGAGACATAATTGGACAGGCTTCTCCTAGGCTGGCACTGTGGAGGGCAGGTAAGGTCCTCACTGAGACCCTACCAACATGACCTATATGTCTCCCAGAGACTGGTATTACTTGTGTCCTGGTAGAATGCTTGGGGATCTTGGCTGCACTCAGAGTGATGCCTAGTGCCATGTTGGCATCTAGTGTCCAGATGAAGTGTCCTCTGGGACTGGGTTAGGCTGGTATGTGCAGGACAGTGTATGGTCAGGGGGATGTCCTCTTGATGTTGCTCACCTTGCCTTTGTCTCCACAGGCCTCAGGGGATACACCCACCACCCCCAAGCACCCCAAGGACAGCCGAGAGAACTTCTTTCCTGCAGCGGTGGCCCCCACAGCACCTGACCCCATGCCAGCTGACACTCTCCAGCGACCTAGTGACCCCCACTCCAAGCCTCAAACTTTATTGGCTACTGCCACAGCTGTTATCAGCTGCCCGCCCTCAGCATCAGCCTCTACCCTAGATTTGTCCATAGACTCTGGAACTCCCCGGCCACACAGGCCTGAGGCTACTCCCAGTGTGACCTCTCTGGGTGCAGGTGAGTGCCATCCTAGTCCACCTAGCAACCGGAGGTCCCCATGTTCAGCTTAACCATAGCCAGATATACTCCCCCACCAGCTGTGACAAGTCTGCTTCCTCTGTATAGTATTGGGGTTCCCTCCAGCCTGGATGACCACAGGAGCAGTCAGCTTCCATCCAGTTGGCAGCTCCTAGCAGCGTTGGTGACCCCATTTGGAACCATCTGTGTCTGCCACGCTTGTAACTTGCTCTCTGGCCTTGTTTACCCTGCATGGAGAGGGGTGAGGACAAGAGGGAACAAGCACCACCATTGCAGTATTTGCTGCTGGCCTGATTTCCTCCTCCACAGAACAATACAATACAGAGGAAGGTCAGCTTTATCGGAGGACCAGGCCTCCTATGGAAAGGTCCTGACCTCAGCAGTCTTTGTGGCCCCAGTAGTCTGTAGGACCAGATCTATCCCCTGTGGGCATGACAAGCAGAAGGCAGCCAAGATGAGGGCAGGTCAATGCGCTTGTAAAGAAAACATAGGACAGGATATAAGTAGCACAAGGCCTGGCTGGTTCCATCAAGTGGGAACCCTAGTTCCTTCTGAAAACCAGGAGCCTCTTGGAAGAGCAGCCTGCTGGGCAGGGTGGCCAGCAGACAGGCAGCGCTGAGTCTGGAACCTTCCAGGGAGGAAGGAGCATCAAGACTAGTGAGTAGCATGAGGTATGGACAAGGCACCACCCCCTTCACTGCTACAGGTGCTTTTCTGACTTTGTGGCTGATTGTGCCTGGCTAGGTCCAGCCCAGGACTGCACCAAGCTTTGTCTATCCCCAGGCATGGAATGTTCCATGTTGGCTCCCAGCACCCCTAGGACCATGATCAGCCTCCAAAGACCCTGTAATAGCAAGGATATTCCCTGGCCAGTTCACCTCCCCAGCAGAGAACAGCCTGGTTAATGGGTTCCTTCTCCTGCCTCTTCTACCGTGTCTCAAAACCACAGCCACCTGCCCATACCCAGAGCCATCCCTAAACGCTTGCCTCTCTTCCCAGTCATAGTCTCATGATCAAGGATCTCATCTGGAGCTGCCACCTTCAGCCATAGGACCTTGGCTATGTGGTCCCCCATCTCATCTGGACAGTGTAACATCTACCCCTCTACAGCAAGATTCCTAATCAGCATCTAGCCCCAGGCTGTACTGACTAACAGGAGACTAAGTTAGATGCACCCCTCTCAATCTTTCCTGTAGCTCAGTGTCAAGCACTGGAGTTTTCATCAGCTACCATCCCCAGTTTACTTGGAGGATCGTGTTGATGTAGGATCTTTAGTCCAGTCACTCACAGTTGCACTGTCTCACCATTTGTTCCAGAGGAGCCTATGAAAGCCTGGGACAGAGCAGTTAAAGGACTGGAGTAGGTTTACAGGCAGAGCACTTGCCTAGGTTCCAAAAAGCCCTGGGTTCCATCCCTAGTACCATATAAGAAAACAGAACAGGCCAAGAGTGGTGACACACACTTTTAATCCCAGCACTAAGGAGGCAGAGGCAGGCAAATCTCTGAGTTCAAGGCCAGCCTGGTCTACATACCGTGTTCAAGGCCAGGTGGAGCTACAGGGGAAACCCTGTCTCAAAAAGAAAAAATACAAAAAGAAGAAAGAAAACAGAACAGTTGAAGAGCTGTTACATGATGGTTCTACCCCCAGGTGCCCTTTTACTACCCTGCGGGACTTAGAATAATGCTTAGCAGATAAATAAAGCTGTGGTGTCAGTCTGGTGGTGGTAGTAAGTTCAAAGTGCAGGGATGGGGAGCCCAGAGACTGGGCAAGTTAGCTAGCTGCTGTTAGTAGTTCATGCAATTTCGCCAGCCCCATCCCTCTCTTCAGGGTGACTTGTCTCTGTTTGTCCCATGTGCTTCATGACTTTGGGGAGTCTGATAGAAACTCCAGGAGCAGCTTAGTGGGTAAGGTCTCCTAGCTCAAGGTCTCCTATACAGTTGTATTCAAATCAATAGTTTGTCACCTGAGTGGTCTTGGATGGTTAACAGCCCCAGTTCTTTACTGACTATTGGCTTGAGGCCCTGGTTCCTCCCTTGTGGGTCTGTAGGCACCCTAGTTCCTCCCAACATGGAGGATCTCCTTGTAGCCCCAGCTGACCTAGAACTCACTATGTACACCAGGCTGGCCTTGAACTCACAGAGATCCACCTGCCTCTACCTCCCAAGTACTGGGATTAAAGGCATGCAAGACCATGCCAGGCAAAGGGCATCTCTTAAAACCTAGTTTCAGAAGGACTGAGCATCACTATGGGCCACACCCTAGCCCTGCTATACTGGTGTCAGCTATTGTTTAGCGTGGGTACAGCAGGAAGGCAGTAAGACCACTTGGAGGCTGGCTGCCTTCTTTGTGGCTCTCCCATACCTCTGTTCCTAAGCAGGCTAGAACCCCAAAAGTTACATCTCATTAAGGTTGAATCTGGGGAAGAGTATTTCTGGGTGTACATTCATCAGAGTTGATCCTTTTCTGTTTCCTTCCCCAAGATTAGACTAAATGACTTTTTACCAGGGTAGCACTCTAATGAGCTTGGGATGGGGACAGCTATCAGCAAAAACAGGTGCCCACTCAGACCTGGCAAAGGGCCTCAGGTACCCTCACACTCCCTGACCAGCCTGCCCTCTACTCCCATCTCAGCACTTGACATTGGGTGGCCCCACTAGGGTGGGTGGCCCCTGTGGTTCGCAGAGCTTTCTGGGGTGATGTTAGGACCAGGTTGGGGCAGGCTTGTCCCCCTAAGCCTACATCCTACATCTTTGGAACTAGAAGAACTCTCAGTGGAAAGAGCTGCCTCAGCAGAGCCAGATTCCCTGGGCATGACATGTTAGTGTGGCTGGGCCTGCTTACAGAAGCCATTAGTGATTATAGAGTGACAAAAGTGTGGGGGACTATAGTAGAAAAAGATTGGGAAGAGGGGCTAAGTGAAGTCTGAGCCACCTGGGAGCACAGAAGCCCCCAGGACACCCTCCCAAAGTACATATGAAAGATCTGAGAGGGCAGCCGCAAAGGAGGCCCTGGGTGGGTGTCGTCTCCTCCCCAAGGCAGGCAGCCCTGCCTCTCCTACCGTGCTGCCCTTTACATTTAGAAAGAAGGTGGTGGCAGTGTCCAGCCCCAGCTTGTCCTGCCTTCTGCTGCCTGTCTAAGCAGCCCCAGCCCATGAGGCACTTATCCACCCACAGACCATGGACCCATGGAGTAGATATACTCCCCAAGGACCTCAGTCAGGGTTTGGGGCTCAGGTCTCCTGAGGAAAAGGAGTCTAGGCATACGTGTTGGTGTGAGGGCAACTCATCTGCTATATGTCTGTGCACCCCAGCCAGGATCTGGTTTTGACTTTACCCCCGAGCTGACTCTACCACCTGATGAAGCTAACTCTACCACCACCTTTCTGCAGCTGTCATGTGAAGAGCATACAGTGGGGGGCAAGTAGAGAGAAATCTCCCCAAACAGGGTTGAGGGATAGTAATGTCAACCTGATACTGATCCTAAGAGTCCAGAGAGGGCCTGAACCAGGCTTTGAACCTCCCAGAACAGCTATCCCAGATGTAGTAGCAGGCTGTAAGTCTGCCCCAGGGAACAGGACTATTGTCCTAATGGTGTCCAGCAGAGTCCCAGTGAGGGGAGGAGGCTGCCAAGGCCAGAGTTCATCTCCCATGTGTCTGAGCCTCTGCTGGAGACCTCTCAGAACTGTCCCTCCTCCTGGTGTCCTCTCAAGAAAGAAGGCCTGGACTCCATGCAGTCCACTGAGGCAGTCCAGTGCTATTCCATGATGAGTTTGTTTTTTAACTGTCTTTCCAAACTGCAGGCATTTGGAAGTAAGGAAAAAACTAAATTCTCACTAGCAATTGCTGTTAGGATTAAACAAAGACCTTGAGATAGATGATTGATGATTGATGATAGATAGATGATAGATAGATAGATAGATAGATAGATAGATAGATAGATAGATAGATAGATAGATAGATAGATGATAGATAGAGATGATAGATAGATGATAGATAGATAGGATAGATAGATAGATAGATAGATAGATGTTTGTTTATAGAAATATAAATATTGTGTGTATGTATACACACACATATCCTGGTTTGGGGAGGACTTTTGCCTAGAGTCAGTCCTGACTTAACCCCTGTCAGCTAGAAAGCCAGATACCTTTTGGGTGTTTTGTATTATATGTTTGAGTTTTGGCTTCTTGAGGCAGAGTCTCATGTAATCCAGGCTGGCTTCCAGCTTGTGACAATCTTACTATCTCCACCTCCCAAGTGTTGGGATCACAGGCATGGGCCACCACACCCAGCTCAAAAAAGCCAGACATTGGCCCTTCCTACCTGTGTGTCCTGACACCCGCTACTCAGGAAACTCCTGCTTAAGAGAAGTATCCAGCCACATAAAGTGGAGTGCTACCCATTATGGAAGGGCATATCCTTGGGTTAGGACCCAGGAAGGGCAGCTTGATGGGTGTGTACCCAGTGTCCTGCCCTGCAAGTGGGAGGTGGTACTGGGAATGCTTCAGGAGGAGATTCCTAAGGTGCTCCAAGATGCCAGCTTTTGTGTACATTGAGACAAAGATGGAGTGGCCCAGGTCAGATAAGATAAGATAAGGCCTACTCCACGCTGGGTGTGATGGTACCTACCTTTCTTGGGAGACTGAAGCTGGCCTGGGCTACATAGCAAGAACTCTCTAACAAAGACAGGGAAGAGGAAAGAAAAGATCTCCAGACCCTGGAGCAGCTCTGCTCTGTGGAGACTTAGAGGGCAGCTCAGTGACCCTCAGGTTCTGCCTTTGCCCTACTGGCCAAGAAGGGGAGCCAGCTTTCCCCGCTGGAGGAAGGGTTGGCTGTTGCTGATTGGAGGGTTGGGAGTCTGGACAACCAATGTGCTTGAGTGAGCAGCAAGGTGGGAGCCACCTGGGAGATTACTAAAGCTTTGGGGAGCTGGGAGACACATTCTGAGGTGGCCTAAGATCCCTCAGATCAAGGCTGAGTAATGACCTGACTGGTAATCTCAGTACAGCTGTTGCCTGTAGTTCCATCCAGTCTTTGGCACAATTAGCAAGGTCCTAGCCCTCGCCTTGTTGCAGGGAAGCAGGTTTTTGGTCTGGGAGGAAGACACCTTGCCCTCCTGTTCTCTGGCTACTTTGGTCTTAGTTGGTGGCTTTGGTGGTTATAACTCCAGTTCTGATCTCCATCCCTGTGAGCTAGAGGAGAGAGGAGGTACCTTACACATAAATCCACCCCCTCAGAGCCATGTCTTGGTCCAGGGGCTGTGTAATCTCCAATTATGGTTTCTGCTGTGTGAGCCATAAAGCTACTCGTACTTGGGAGGTGATAGATTTCCTGAAAGTGCCTACCTGTGTCTCCAAGCAGTTGTCCCAGAGAGTGTCTGCTGGTCCCTAGGTGCTCCTGTGGGGATGGAGAGCCACCTTATCCCAGGATCCCCATGTTGCCCACATTCCCCTACTGTGTATCCCAGGGCATAGCCTAGGCACAAGGCCAAGCACGGAAACATAGGTGCCAGGAAGGAGGGCTTTCCCCATGGAGTATGTCACCTGCAGCTGGCCTGTGTCTCCACAGAGGAAGAAGAGCTGGCAGGAGTGGCAGAAGGCGCCAGCTTTCCGCCCCAGGAGCCACGGCGAAGTCAGCAGGTGAAGATGGCTCCCACTGGTCCCCTAGCAGAGCAGCACTGCTGGTCAGTGGAGGCTGCCCGTCAGACATGCGCTGAGCCCACCTGCAGCCAAGGTAAGGCCAGTTGGGAGCAGCCCAGCACCAGCTCCCACCAGGTTGCTCACAGATGACAGCCATGGGAGGGGCCAGCCTGGTGGATAGAAGGAACAGCAGGGCAGTGCAAAGCTCAGGAAAAAATAAGGGGAAAAGCCCTGGTCAGAGTCTGCTGTAAACCATTATCAGGGCCCCAAACCTCATTTTACCCCATCTCCACAAAAGGGTCATACTGAGGGCAGGAGCCTTGCTTGGGCCCTGTCACTGAGATGCCCCTATAGGCACCTGAGACAGACCACAGACATACTTTCTCTGGCTTATTCCTACTAGCCACTCTACCCAGTCAGGCCCCTTGGGACCTCTTGGCTAGGCCTCCCACAGACCACTCAGGATGGCAGGACCTGGCGCCAGCCCATGAGAACCAGGCAGGGCTCTGAATAAGCTCCCACTCCTTTTAAAGCAATGGGGCTGAAAGAATGTGGAGCCATGCCAGACAGCTAGGTTGCTCCCAGTTCATGGAGCTCCCTGGAGGCTGCCAGGTTCCAGAGTTGCAGCCTGCAGTGGCCTTCCATTCAGGCAGTCAGGCCTCCAGGCTCCAGGTAGGCACAGCCTTGCTTGTCCTGGAGTATGAAAGAAAAGTATACTCACTGGGGCCAGCTCAAGTGACTACACCTGGCTAAGAGACCAGCTCTGGGCCTCAGTGTCCTCCCTGGGGATGGGCAGCAACAGGACATGTGTTTAGAAGAGTTTAGAAGACAACAGTTGATGCAGGTGTGCCAGAGGAGCCCTCAGATCCCCAGGAAAGCTCAGAAAAGCTCGTGGGATCTTCGGATGCTCCTGAGAGCCCAGGGTGCTCCTAGGTGTAGGTATAGTCCGAACATGCCAAGGTTTGCAACCAGAGTAGAACCTGGGACCCTAATAGTCAACACAAGCAGGATAGAAAGATATACATGATCTGAGCCCCTCTGTCTTCCATAGGGGAAACTGAGTTCTTAGCAGGTGGGGAGGCAGGCAGACAAGCTGTGAGTGAAACTCAAACTAAGGTCTCCAACAGTCACCAGCACTAAGGTCCCCTGCAGTGGAAATGCCCAGACACCAGAGAGCCATCAAGGCAAGGCTGAATCCAGCAGGGCCAAGTCCCGCTTCCTGCCCAACATGCCAAAGCTGGTGATCCCTTCGGCCACCACCAAGTTTCCTCCTGAGATCACCGTCACACCGCCTACCCCAACCCTGCTTTCCCCCAAAGGCAGCATCTCGGAGGAGACCAAGCAGAAGCTGAAGGTGACCATGGGTACTAGGCAGGGGACCTGGGCAGGGGCTCAGATTACTGCGGGGGGGGGGTCTGGGATGGGGCTTGGGTTACTGGGAGACCTGTGCAGGGGCTCAGGTACTAGGGGCCCTGGGTAAGAGTTTAGATTAAGGTCAAGAAGCTTGGGGCAGGGCCAGGCTGTCCTGACTATGCCCTGCCCTGCCTGCAGTCGGCTATCCTGTCTGCCCAATCAGCTGCCAATGTGAGGAAGGAGAGACTGTGCCAGCCAGCCCTGGAGGTCCTGGAGACATCCAGCCAGGAGTCCTCACTGGAGAGTGAGACAGATGAGGATGATGACTACATGGACATATGATAGGGTTCACCCAGATGGGGAAGAGCTAGGCCTGGAATGCCCCTTTGGTCCACACCCTGGGCAGGGCCAGAAGCCCATGCGATGTACCATTCTCCATGGTCTCCCAAGCCTGTCCTGCCCGTTCGTAGCATCCCTGCTCCCAGACATGGACTGTCCCTGCTTGTTTGTGGTGTGGTAGTCCAAAGGAAGACCAGACCTGTCTGAGCCGTGTGAGGATGGACTGGTCATGATCTGCACAGCCAGGGCGGAATACTTTTTTTATGCAATGTTGACTTTTTAGCAAGCCGAGCTGGCCAGGTTCTTCTTAGGTCCTGGTGGAGAGATCATCTAGGACCTGGTTCATCCCACATCTTTTTTTGTTTTCTTTTCTAATAAAGATGGAATAATGAAAGATTTTTGCCTCTTTGCTCACCTTGGGGGGTACCTGGAGAAGGGACTGGAGCTTCCCTCAGAGTATCAGTATCCCAAGTTCTTAGACTTGTAGAGCTGATGTAGCCCTAGACGCCCCAGGAGACTGCAGGTATGGGACAGACCTCTCTGGATGAGGCTGGACTGGGATCTAAAAGACTGTTGGGTACCCTAGAGCTTCTGAAGTGTAGGGTGGGCGGCCACAGAGAGGGTCCAGCCTTGGTGGTGCTACAGAAATGGCAGTGGGGAGCTGGGGGCAGGGGAAGAAAGGGGTCATCAGGAAGAGGGACGCTTCGCATAGTACTCCCAGACAGGGTCAGCTACATTAAGTATGGAGACCAGCGCAAGATATATGCAGGCTGCTTTGTTCAAAAATTAAGATTTGTGGGGAACAGGTTGAGTCAGAGTCTCACTATGTAGCCTAGACAGGCTTTGGATTCACAATCATTGTGCCTTAGCTGAGGTTGCAGGCATGTACCTGGCTTGAAGTTCAGAGTTTTAAGACCACAACAGAACATTAAGCAAACCATGATACTGGGCTCTGTCCTCCTAGACCCCATGCCATTAGTTTCGGGGACACTTTAGTTGCAGGGACCCATAGCATATAGCACTCTCACACAACACCTCAGAGCCCCATGTGTGCCCTGCCTCCCAAGCTTTAGGCTAGGATGGAGATGGAGTACTTCTAGTTTGCATTCTGTTTCTGTGATAACCACCACAACCAAAAGCAACTTGGGGAAGAAAGGGTTTATTTCAGCTTACAACACCTGGGTCACAATCCATCATTAAGGGAAGTCAAAATAGAAATCTGGAAATCTGGAGGCAGGAACTGAAGCATAGACCATGGAGGAATTTCTTGCTCCCCTTGACTTGCCTTTTTTTTTTTTTTTTTTTTTTTTTTTTTTTTTTTTTTTTTAAGTCTTTTTGAGACAAAGTCTTCCCTGCACCCCCAGCTGGCCTGGAACTTGAACTAGCTATGTAAACCAGGCTGGTCTTGAACTCGCAGAGATCCATGTGCCTCTGCCTCCCCAGTGCTGGGAATAAAGGCATGTGCCATTACATCTGGCTCAAAGTTTTGTTTTTTTTTTAAATCTTTTTGAGACATGGTCTCCCTGTAGCCCCAGCTGTCCTGGATTCACTATGGAGACCAGGCTGGCCTTGAACTCACAGAGATCTGCCTGCCTCTGCCTCCCGAGTGCTGGGATTAAAGACGCGCACCGCCATGCCCAGCTCAGTTTTTTTAATGAGGCTAGAGAGATGGCTCAGTAGTTAAGGGCACTGGCTACTCTTGCAGAAGACCCAGGTTCTGTTCCCAGCACCCACATGGTGGCTAACAACCATCTGTAAGTCTACTTTCAGGGGATCTGGTGCCCTTTTCTGACCTTTGCAGGCATTGCAGAACATGGGAGCACTTACATACAGGCAGGCAATACATTCATAAAATAAAAAAGAAAATGTCCCACAGGCAGATCTGATGGATGAAATTCCTTATTTGAGATTCCCCCTTCCAAGGTATATCTAGGTTTGTGTCAAGTTGACAAAAGCTAACCAGTGCAGGTACCCTTTAGTTACCTGTGCTCATGCTGAGCACATGCCCTCAACCCTGTGAGTGAAAAAGTTCCCAGAAAATCCTGGATCTTGGACTGAATTTCCTGGAAAGCTGATGACCAACTGCTTAGCCCTTCAGTGACTAGAAAGTTTGGAATGTTGCAAATCCAAAGCCTATGCACATTTTATCTAAGCCTTAAACAGTCACTCCTTGCCCACCTCTGTTGTCTAACAAAATGTATTAACAAAAGGAACAGTCCCTACCAATCAAAAGACAAGAACATCATCAGCATCTGAAGTCTATACCTGAGATTTCTCTTTTACTGTATCTGCCTACTTACTCTTTCCACCAATTTATTTGAAGTGTCTTGATTTATGATTTTTCTTTGTTCTGTTACTATAAAAATTTCATGAAACAGTTATCCCATAACTGCTTTTAAATTTTGTTTATTCTTAACCTGAAGTCTTAATGTTTCCTTTACCGTCCTTCCTGTCACTTTTGATTTATGTCATGCTAATAACTTAGACAAGGGGAGCTCTGCTGGTTTCATATGTAAAGGCAGTTATGTCTCCCTGTAAGAAATAATAAATATTACTCTTTCAAACCCTGTAAAACTTCAAACTTGGTTAGCTGGATGTGGTGACTCAGTGACCCAGGAGGCAGAGGCATGTGGATCTCTGTGAGTTCAAGGCCAGCCTGGTCTACATAGTAAGTTCCAGGACAGCTGGGGCAGCAGAGAGACCCTGTCTCAAAAAGACCAAGAAATAAAAATAAAAACTTAGAACTTGGGTTATGATAAGGAATAGTCTAATCTTTTAATCCCACCATACCGTGTAAGACTTGTTTTAGGAAAGGCTATGATGCCTTTCTGAACCTGCCTGGGAAAACAGAGCTCTTCTCCCTTTAAGCAGATTCTTTTAAACTGGATCTGACTGAACATGCAACACACCCTTATGCAAAAGTAAAATCTGCCTTGCCATGTTACTTTTGCTTTGACCATGTGTTCTTTGTGTGGTATTGATAAGGTCCTTGAGGCTCAGATTTTATTTCTAACACCCCTCAGTTATTTAGGTCTTGAAAAAAAGAAATTAGCTCTTAAAAAGAAAAAGTGGTATGACCCTATATCTACATGGCAAACTTTACCTTTTATTTTAGGTCACTATGCTTTCTAACGTCTTAAAGAGCTAGAAATACAAGTTTTCTACCTTCCTGCCCTTGGTGCACCTAGATTTCACGTAATTATACTGTGTGTCTTTTCGTGTGCTGTTTGTGTCAAAACATTTTTTAATGAACTGTAGCCACTTCAGTGTTTTTTCACTCTTCTTAAATTCTGTACTAAAATTATTAGGATTTTTTTTTGCATGCCAGATGCCAGAATAAAATGCACATGTGCAGGTTTATAAATGCATTTTACTACTGTATTAAAAGGCCTGATAAATACATACTGCCTTAGAAACTTGAGTACTCCAAACATCTTACCTATTAAACAATATCTTTGGGTCTATTAAGTATTTCACAAAACGCTTAAATGTTAATTGTTTATACAAAAACCAACATTCATTAAAATCATAAGTTTTATTAAGCTATAAAATTTAATGATATATATATCCTACTATGAAACTATTAAAAGTGTTATGATGTCAGGCTGGAGAGATGACTCAGCGGTTAAAAGCACTGACTGCTCTTGCAGCAGACACAGGTTAAATTCCCAGCACCCAAATGGTGGCTAACAACCATCTATAACTGCAATTCTGACCTCAGAGGCATTGCAGGACACAGGTGCACTTACACACATGCAGGCAATACACTCATACACATAAATAAAAATAATAAAAATTTTTTAAAAGTTATAATGTCATTTCACCAGAGAAGACCACACAGACACACACAAATAATTTACCAAAAGAAAACCTTTTATATTTTTCTATAGTCAGCTGGGAACTACACTGGTCAATCATGATGTTCCCAATTGCAGTCCTGAGCCATCTCTAGGATAAGCTTTTATACAGAAAAACTACATCCAGGGGCAAAAAGTTTAAGTTCCCATGCTTGGGGATGAAAAGCCCCCCTAACTTTCTATTCTGTAAAACAACACTTACCCTCTGCAAAAGCAAGCCAACCATTACCTACAGAAGCCATAAATCTGCTGTTGGCAGGGTAGCCAGGTGCATGTCAACCTTAGTGTAGGCCTACACCTTAGTGTAGATAGCTTGAACCTCTTTTTTTTTTAAACTACTTAGTTGGGGCCTGCTTGTAATCCAGCGTAGCTATGGTCAGTCTTGAAGTCCCTCATCACAAAAGTAAGGTTTTTCAATAAAAAATTAATAAAGGTAAGGTTTTGTTTTGTTTGTTTTTGTCTTTTTGAGACAGGGTCTCCCTGTAGCCCCAGCTGGCCTGAACTTGCTATGTAGACCAGACTGACCTTGAACTCACAGAGATCTGCCTGCCTCTGCTCCTGAGTACTGGGATTAAAGGTGTATACCACCATGCCTGGCAAAAGTAAGGTTTACCACCATGCCTGGCAAAAGTAAGGTTTTTATTAATGCTAGACTACATGTAAAACTGGATACACGTGTTTGCTAAAGATTTTTGTATTAAATTTCCTTTCCACAATAAGGATTATGGGAGATACAATCTCAACAAAAATAATTACAAGATCTTGGTTGCTAAAAAATGATAGGTAAAAATGTTGGAGAGAGTGCGGTGGAGAGCACTAGCGGATGGAGGAGGCACCGAGGCACAGATGGAATTCTCAGCGGGATACAGATTTATTTCGCACGGGGCACCTTTCCCTTGGGGAAGGGAAAGATGTCAGCGAAGGGAAAGATGGGAAGGAAGGGAAGGGAAGGGAAAGATATCAGGGAAAGATGTCCGCCCACGGGTTGTGAGCTGGGACTTTATATATGGGGGCTTTAGGGTGTGGAAGGGGGGAATGTTCGGGGGAGAAATCAGGGAGGGGGAAGAAGGAAAAGCAGGCAGGATTAGGGTCTGGAAGTGTTTACTTTTTCCCTCTTAAGATAAGAGAAAAGCTGTTGTGATAAACAGCTTCTAAAATCTCTGGTTAACAGGTAGAATCTGCTTATCTTATCTTTGGAGATCAGAGGAAATGGAGGTCAAAGGAAAGGCAGGCTGCTTCTCAGCAGAGTTTGTTTCCCTTGACTCCAAAGGTCAAGGTGAGGTCCCTGTTGGGGAGGGGGGAAACTGCTGCTGTTTGGAACCCTAACAAAAAACTCATATATGATTATGTATGTACTGTCTACATGAGCTTATGTTTAAAAAAATTTTTTTCTTGGTATCAAATTGGCTTTTAAGGAAGCATTCATGTGAACTGGAATCGTTAAATTAGCCCCACTTCTTTTCGGCTCACAGTAAAACTAAAATTTCAAGGGAAGAGGTCCCAACTCCAAGACAAGTTAGCTTGCCCACATGTCCAG